ATTGATGTGCATATGTGTGCCAATGAAAATACGTAGAAATTCAAATTCTACCAGCCACCACAGCAATCGACCACCTGAATTGATCCAATGTGATGTGAAAATCTGCTTGTCTAAACAAAAGATAAGCAGTGCAGAAAAATTGCACGCATTATCTGCAAAATCCAGTTTTGAAATTGAATTTTATATTTTTCCGAGAGTAAGCCAATTCAATAACCTACATATCAGCTGGCATTATTGTCAATTTTTTTTTCATATCCTTGCAAACAAGCGAGTACGAGGTCCTCAATCGCATGAACGAATGCAAACACGTGCCGTAATTTAAATAGTAAATAGTAAGAGCTTGTTCGTCTTAGCACATAATGGAAATTAATAAATATTTCTCAAAACTTTTTATTTCACTTGCACGCGCTGATGCCATACCACGCCTTTTAAAGTTCGCATTATTAAGTGCAGTTAATTTTATTGTTCTGGCATTGCAATCAGTTCGCTATAATGCCGCATTGTAGTCAGTGGACGGAGTGGCACAAAAGCAGATTTTTTCGTTCGCATTCACTATTACGCTGCTTGGAAGTGTGAAAATTACAAAGAAATTATGTGGAAGGTATTATTGCTTAGCTTTGTTGGAAAATCACTATTTTCTATCTTTGCGTTATTCTTTGTTCTTTGTTTTGGTTTTAGTTTTTTTTTATTGCATGCGCATGTAGCTGCAGATGAGACATCGTCTCGTCGTTCCTATTACACTGTTCACTTGTATTTACAAATGTCCGCCCCAATTCGGACACAACTTCGCTTATTCATCTCCGTCGTGTGACAAAATTTAAAAAATTTCAAAACTCACAAAACAGTCAATATACCTACGAAGCTATGAGCCAAGTATAGTAAAACTTCGTTTTTTGTTTTGCTCTCTGGCGTCAGCATTTTTAAAAAGGACTTTAAAGTTTAAAAGATATGGTTAATTTAAAAAACTATTTAAAAAATTCCGTGCATTGTAGAAAAACATATTAATATAAATGATAGAGAAAATTTGGTACACTTTGAAAATGAAAAATAAAGTTGTTTGGTTCACAAGGACGAATAGGTATTGAAAGAGCCCTTTTAATTATTATTTTTTAAGCTAATAAAATAAGAAGAACCGAATTCTAGAATGTGGCGGTGTGCATATTCATCCTTAATTTATATATATTTTATATATATATTTTCTTTTTTCAAAAATAAATATTTCAAATTTTCAAGGATAAAATTTTAAAAGTACATTTTCAATACCTATTTGTCCTACAGAATTTCCTCTTTTGTTTAGTAATCATCAATAATTTCATTGAAACTTCAAAGTCCGTTTAAAGAAATCCTGACGTCAGCGAAAACTACATAAAAACGAAATTTTACTATTTTTGGTCCCAAGCTTCACGAATATGTTGATTGTTTTGTATGTGAAGTGTGAAATGGACTGTTGCACAGTGTTATATTACCGATTGAGAGCGGCCTCTCTGATTTTTACAAGCTTTCATTATGTTTCACCTGGGTGTAATCAAGTATAGCAGTCAATTTTTAACCAACTTTCCGATAAGCTAGAGATTTTGAAACTTCAAAGTTAGCTCAGAATCCGATGGCAATGCAATATGAAGGATGAATTAATCCGCTAGGTGGCGCAGGAAACCAGATATTTGGAAAACCTGTATTTCTTGTCTGATTTGGTTCGTATTTAAAATGAATATTATTTACATGAAAAGCAATAACTCCACAAATATTTTGCCTGATAGGTGGCGCAGGACTCGAGATATTTGGAAAATCCGTATATATATTCCGATTTGTTTCATATTTAGAACACGCATATATTATTTAAATGGAAATAAATACCTCCACAAAAATGTTTGCCGTTAGGTAGTACGGGGGTCGATTTTTCTTTTCTTTACTTAGCACTAATGAAAGCTTGTCTTAAAAATTGTTTTTTTTTTAATTACTTGTTTTAAATTTTTTTTGTCCAGCCGTTTTCTAGAAATCGATTTTTGAAAATTTTAAATGCCCATAAATTGGAGAAAAAGAGACCGATTGGGACCACTTTTTCAATTTTTTTTTTCCAAAATACTTTTGGAATATAAAATCGAAAAAGTTACCGAAAGCACCCTCTACGTGGTACGAAGCGATCTAAAGCTATCTCTTTGGTATTTACGATCATTATCATTTTTCGTGTGATACTCTGATGAACGTGGACGGTTGAGATTTCTGGTAGATATGTAGGCATATTGATTTTTGTGTAAATAATTCGTCAAAAGAAAACTCTTTTATATACATATTCATATCTGAGATCATTTCTATAAATTTTAGTTGAAGGGTGAGTCTGATAACACTGTGCGACAATTTTAAGACAATTCAAACCAGCCCAGACTTTGCTAATATTTTCTGAAAGTATACATATCCACGGAAAAATCAAAATAAAAAAATCTATGCCCAAAGTAAATTTTTGAAAATTGAGTTTGGCTGTTATTCCTTCTTGGCATTTTAGTTTTATAGATACTTTTACGTTAGCAGCATGACGTTTTTGCCTGAGAAGCCCCCTAGTAAAATTTTCCGAAGAATAGTTTTCTAGAATGTATCAATCCTCTAATAAACTTCCAAATTTGCCTTATGCGGGGTTTCTTGAAGAAAAGGTCAAAACGACCTTTTCAGGTGGGAGCTAATGGGTTAAAATGTTCTACGAAAATATTTCTCATGAAATTTTACTATATATGTCTTAACCTTTAATTTCGCTCAGACATTTATTTTAACCGTTTTTTTCGACTTTTTTGAAAAATACTTAGGCCGGGACATGAAAACTTTTGCAGACCACAAAATAAAAATACGTGCTAATCCTTCGAGTGTTTTACAACTGGATAGGTATACTTTCAGAAAATGTTAACAAAGTTCGGGCTGGTTTCGGCTTTTGCCAGTGTAATTTATCTCTTCTTTTGAGGAGTGTGCCTAACCGTCACTTCTGCCATTGTAAGAGTCAGCATCCCCAAGAGGTATTCGAAGCCTTAAAGAGCAATATTATAAGGGAACACAAGTGGTGAATTTCCTTTTGTAGATGATCTGGGAACATTCCGTCTGCCCCAGGAGGATCATCGGAAGTCCTCCTTATTTAATCTTCATCGAACAAGCCTCTGGCGACTTTCTATTCTTCTACGCCAGGCCGTTTTATACCACCCTACCACGTTCAATTTTCTTACTGTTTTCAGGAAGTCATAAAAAGTTGCGTATACGCCATGCATGCGAATTGAGGAATTTAATAGATTTCTTGGCACGAAGAAGTGCAAATTAAAGTACAGCGCGGAAGAAAAGCGCAAGTACAAGCAAAAAGTGCTTAGCAGTGAGTTGCCATCATTCAAATTATAAAGGCGCTACTTTTCATGCATTCATTGCATCGGTGAATAGATACTCTGCTTTGAGCTAAGCACAAACAACTAAGCAAACTCTCTATAACGCACTTCAATTCAATTACCAAAACACAAATGCATTTTTGAGCGGGTTGCAGAAGTAGTATGCTGGTGAAGGCAAGGATTTTCAATGGGTGTAAATATAGCTGGATATTTTCATAAATTCGCATAGGAATGTAAATGCATTAGACCGCACCACCCTACAAGCAAACAAAAAAAAGTAACCTTAAAATATTGAGTCTAAAGTATTTTTGCTAGGCGATTCCGAAAAATTTTTGTTTTTTGTTTTTTGGCCGAACCTAGGAGTTGCCTTTTGGCATTTGTCGGTGACGCCTGCAGCCGTCGATACAATTTTTTTAATAGTACTACTGGTCAATCAAAGTACTTCTTTGGCAAAAGTTAAATGGTTTTTGGTGAACTTTACCGGAAAATTCTAGCAGCTGTATTTCAAGTCACCACAGTCATTCGAAAGATAAAAGTCTTTCGCAAGACAGTGTCAATTCTGGCAACTATCTTGAAAGCTCTTTTCTGCCTTTCGAAAGACTGATTGAAAGGTCTTAGCGTTATGCTGTTTGCCTTTCAGCAAACAAGTTTTCCAAGAATTAAATTAAATAAAAAATATCTAGCTTTGTTCTTTTCAAAGCAATAAACACAAAAAAATTACAAGAAAATTCAACTTAAAAAAGAAAAATTTAATTAAAGAAGAACAAGAAATTGAAACAAGTTTTTCAAAATTAAATGGTACTAAAAAAATATTTTTCTTTTTAAAACATTGAAATCTAAAAACAAAAACTAAATTAAATTTAAAAAAATAATAATTTAAAACATAAAATAAAATCAGTTCCTGAAAACTAAAAGAAATTAAACAACATATTTTTCTTTTTAAAACAACAAAATCTAAAATTAAAATTAAATTTTTTTTAAACAATAAAATCAAAAAATTAAAAGAAATATAAATTATAAAACAAAAAAAACATTTAAAAACAAACAAAAAATACATAATTTAATTTTCTAAAACTTTAGTGAAATTAAAGCAATATGTATATATTTATAATTTTAAAACAATAAAACCTATAGTTTAAAAGAAAATTAAATTTAAAAAGTGAAATTAAAAACAAGAATGATAATATAAAAGTTTCTAATAACTAAATGCAATTAATAAAATTTGTTTTTAAAACAATAAAATCTAGAAAATAAAATTTAATTTAATTTTTATTGAAAGAAGTCTGATGAGGAAATGTGGTGATTTCCGAAATAGCTATCACTTCTACCACTTTTTCAAATTATTGTTGCTTTTCCACAATAAGTTTTCATTAAAAAACGGCCTCAATCAAGCTCAATAAAAATTGTTGAATAAAAGAAAAAAAAATGTAACTAAAAAACAGAAAAACTACATAAACTAAGTTTCTAAAAATTCTATGAAGTAAAATAAATATATATATTTTTGTTCTTAAAACAATAAAATTTAAAAATCAAAAGGAAATTAAATCAAAAAAGAAGAAAAGAATTCCGCTGCCCATCCTCGGATCTCTCAAATGACACGCCAGTGTAGAGCTGCAAAACTATCGATGGCACTATCGATAGTATCGATAGTTTACAATTTGACACCACTATCGATAGTTGTAAATACTATCGAATGGTGACATTCCTATTTATCTAGAAAATTCAATTCAAGGAATTGGCGCTGGGAATTGGCTTGTGTAAGAAATAAAAAAATTTATCAAATATACGTACATATGTATGCACATACTTTTAATTTATTTTATCTTAATGCTTTTATTACTATATCAGGGTTATTAGATGTTGGCGGTTGGCTCGAAAATGGAAAATTCGGAAGCTTCGCAAGGTAAGATTCATTTAGCCTGTGGTCTCGGCTTATTTATAAATTTTGACAGCTTGTAACACGGAGAACAGTCCCGAAGCAGA